TTTCTTTGCCCCCATGATCGCCAATGCCCCAACGCATTCCCTGGAATGAGATATTAATATGCCATTTATTTGAAACTTCAAAAATAATGTGGATCTGACTCATACGAGAACACTTGCAAGATAACTATTTTAGGGCTTGAAACCTTGTTTTCCTGTATTAATTATCTTAATCAACACGATCAGTTTGATGGTTTTTCGATGCTAAAACAACAATTTTTTAGTGAGATTTGAGCGGTAGCCTTGTGCTAACCTTTTCATATTGAAATTAATTACCATGGCCGACGTAATTTTGCATGACATGCCAAAAGTGGCATTGATTTTCACAATCTTTCTTAATAACTGGTATTCACAAGGTGCTAGGATACTATAGGAAACCCAAATGGTAGTATAAAATACTTTCCGTGTCGTAGTGTTTTGGAAATGGAAATGTATATAATGAAACTATTTACATTTGATACAAGAATGTCACAGTCATTATTGATCGTTGGATGTGAATCAGATGATTGCGGATATATTATTGATTGGGCACAATATTCAAAATAAAATTTCTTGAATATTGTGACTCATTTCAATATATTGCACTTCACATCTAATAGCTGAAAATGATTGTGATATCTTCATGCTAATTTTTCTATTTTCGATACAGAAAAACACCAAACACCTGGAGAGCCTATTCAGAACCAGATCTAAAACAATAGAGCCCACTTAATTTGGTTAGTGACCAATCTGGGTTTTGATACACTGATGCCACCGGCCCTATCCCTTGTCCTGTCCTAGAAAGGTGTAGGTCATTTTTCATGTAGGAACAAGATTGACGTTTTGTCTCATTTCATAGCAATGATGATTATACTCACATTGATAACATGTTCGAAATAAACCAAAAAGGGCAACACGTCTAATTCACATGACAAAAAGTATAGTCATGCATCCAGCATGTATACTTGAATATCTATTCAAACATAGTGAGGGTCATTCCTCTTGTGGTTGTGGCCATGCCCGTGCCGCCAAAACCTCTCTACAGCTCTTACGCCACATTTTGTTGGCCCATGCACTAGTTTTTCTAGGCCAAACCATAGAGCCAAATAGGGCTGCCCAATCCATCGCCACTTCCAATACCCAACGCGGCAAGGACCAAGCCACCTTGTAAAAAGCCAACGAACTGGGTTTGGATCTAGACCCAACCAATTTTGTAATTTGTGCGCCTGTAAGTTCTCCATGGACCAAAGCCTTTGTATTGGGTGGCACCAGCCCGAGTGGGTCATTAGGCCACGGCTAGGCCTCTTGGAAGGCCGAAGACAACACGACCTGTTGCCAACCCTCTTTATGTTTTTTTTTTTAGGGATTGTCTATAAAGAGATCATTTATCTTTTATACATGGAAATCACAATCATTCTCACTCACTAGATGTCAATTCACCAGATGTCAATTTGGATGGCTTCATTCTCACTCGCCAGATGTCAATTCACTAGACCTCAATGGCTTGACGTGTGTCATGAAGTCTGATAATTAATTTTATGTCTTTGGGTTTGATAATTTACAAAAATACCACATTTTCGATATCTTGGGTCGATAATCCAGAAAGTTGAGAGATTAAGGAAGATGTTGCACACAAAATTAGAATTAGGTAGACAAAGTGGAGATGTGCAATGGAATTTTATGCAATCACTTCATACCAATGAAGCGGAAGGATAAGAAAGTTGTGAGACTAGCTTTGCTCTATCGGGCCCATAGAATGAGTGTGTAGCTAAGATGATGATGTTGAGATGGACAAGTAACAAGACAAGAAAGGATGTTGAGATAGACAAGTAGCAAGACAAGAAAGGGTAGAATTCGAAATGAACCAATTCAAGAGAATTTAGGTGTAACACCAATAGGCAATAAGAAGAGAGATAGTAGACTTAGATGAGTTGGCCATATGTGGTGCCGACCAAGTAGTTAGGAGATGCGAGTTAGTTCAAGTAGAAAGACTTAAAATGGCAAGGGCTAGATTCAAAAATACGTGGTTGGAAATAATTCAGAAATATATTGGGACTTATGAGCAGAAGGGCCGATCAGAATTCGTGTAGTCAACCCCAACTAATTGAAAAAAAAACTATATTTTATGTCTTTTCAATGACATTCATATGACCACCCATTTTGAAATTAAGGAACAATAATGATTGTAATCTCCATGCAAAAAATAAATAAACTCTTTGTAGACAAGTCTTTTCTGGATGGGCTTGAAATGAAATTATTATACTCTATAGAGTGTTTATAGGTATCTCAAGCCAAAAGATATAAAATCAAATCAAACGGTCAGGATGTGTGGTTTCTTCACACAGGATCTAACAAAATTTGTATCGAGCTTCAAGCATGGTGAATAGGAATTTATTATTTTTTTTAAGGGCTTATGTAGATTATTAACTTTCGTACACAATAGTCACAAACTTTTCATGCTATTAGATATGCAATTGAACCATAGTCACAAACATCTCAAGCCATAAAGACATTGTGTCATTTATTCGTACGATGTCCAAGGAAATTATTGCCAAGCTTTAAGCAAGCTGAATAGGATAACGGCAATCGCTTGAGTTCTTGTTTGACGGTTAAAAGGTGATTGATTATGTGTTTTTTTTATATTAAAGGTATTATGTCTTATTGCATGTATCCACTCTCATTTAATAAAACATTTATATATGTCTCCATATATATGGACATTATGTATTTGGAGACTTGTAAGCATCCGATTTTGATTAAAGAACTAAAATTTTGGGCCGAAAATAAAGCATCTGATTTTGATTAGAAAACTAAAATTACGCCGAAAATAATGTCATAAGCTGGTACTAGTTGAGTTTGCTAGGAATTAAGATGCCTTTAGGAAATCCTGTGTCCAAAAGTCTATAGTATTTAAGACTGGCCTCTAAGCTAAGGGGGTTTTCGAGGTGTCAAAATAATGGGTCTAAATTCTATTTTAACCCAATCCCAAGTTAACATTAAAAAGGAAAAAGAAAAAAAGAAGTATGTGTTCTTAATCGACTTTCCTTTTCCAATGTCTACCTATCATTTGGGGTGGATGGTGGAGGGTAATTCGCTGAATGTCATTAATTGATGCTTTGAGATAGGCTGGCTCCATTGGTGTTTGAGGAAGTATTGGATAGAAATGGTAGATATTTGTCGGAGTAGGCCATTGCTTTCCACCATGTTTACAGGGAGGCCAATGACATGGGCTTTCCGCCGTGTCTATAGGGAGGCCAATAACATGGCAGACTCTTTAGCAAGTTAAAGCTGATCCTATTTTTTATTTTACCTTTATAGTTGTATTTTTGTAATGTTCTTTTGTTGATCAATAAAGTTTTGTGCATTTGTCAAAAAAAAAAAATTGAGATCCATTTGTAATTTTGTCTATTCAAATTCCCAATACTTGGATTATCTTCATAATCGAAGTATCCAACAATCGAAAGTGTGGACTATTACTGTACAGTATACACCATAGACCATTTATGATATACTCTCCCTTTGGATTACAAATACCAGAGGCCAAATATGGTGTACTTCCTTTTACACCAAGACTCTCTCTCTTCCCCTTTGGTTGGTGGCTGGGTGCCAACGCGTGCGACAAGTGGTCATTGAATTGAGGGATGGACGGTACGGATTTATTAAATAGCACCTGAATAAGATCATATGAAATCTGGATCGTTCACGAGGCAAAAGAGGGCCATCACTTTGCCTCTCATCACACGTGTCATGTGGCACGCATGCAACGATTGTAGTCTCATAAACTCGGAGTGATATGAATGAAATTGGTTTGGTGAGGTTGTGTCACGAGAGAATTAAGGAAACGTAGTTGTCATCAGAAAATTAAGGAGGAAATATTTCATGAATCCAAACAGTCTTATATATGTTGGGCAGAAAATTTCAAAGTCAATTTTTTTTTTAAAATCTCAATCTCTCTCTCTCAAATATTTGAAAAATCGTATCCAAACAGAAATATCTAATATATATTGTGAAAAAATCCAAAAATTCAAAATGTATCCTTTTTATAAAATTTTAAAAAAAAAAAAAAAAAACTCTCACCTCTCTCTCGATAATTTGTGAAAATTCCAAATCTCTCTATCCCTCTCTCTCTATATCCTTTTCTATGAATTTTTTTTTACAAAAATATCAATCTCTTTATTGAAATTCGAGTTTTTTATATATATAAAAAATCTCAATCTCTCTCTCGATTTTTTTTGAAAAATCCAAATTCTCTCTCTCCCTCTCTCTCTATATATATTACAAAACTTATATAATAAAAAATTTGGTCATACCCTCCTTTTGAAGTGTAGCTCTCTCTCTCTCTCTCTCTCTATCTCATATATTCAAAACTAATGTACAATACAAAATTTGGTCATATCCTCTTTATGGAATGTAGCACTCCCTCTCCTCTTTCTCTCTCTTTAATGAGTTAATCACCAGCTTAAGTTGTGATAACTCTCTCTAAACAAACTTTTGGAACGTGAAGGCCATGGCAGATGATCGAAGTTTTGGATTTGCCTTCTCATCTCAATTTGAAAATTGAATTGGTTTGGATAATTATGGTCGTAACAAAAGGGCCAATCCAGAGTTAGAGATAGTTTTAGAGAGAGAAATGGATTAGAGAGCACATAATGTAGCGAATCACTATTCTTATCTCTCTCTACTCTTTAGCCCATAGATAAAACCGACATTAATGGATGAACTTCAAAATACTTTCTCTCTCTTAGTTTAAAACTTCATAAGGAAATAGGTTTTTTCTCTCTCTCAAGGATTCCAATTAAGGAAACTAATGAGGTTGAAGATTACATTTTGGCAGTCTTCCTCTTTCTCTCTCTTTTTTCAACGTCGATCAAAGGTAGTACAGGTAACTCATCTCTCTTTCTTTCTTCTTCTCTCTCTACTGTTCTCATTCTCTCTCTTCTTCTCTCTCTACTGTTCTCATTCTCTCTCTTCTTCTCTCTCTACTGTTCCTCATTGGTCATGAGACTTGGCTTATGGCAAGTTTCCATCTCTCTCTACTTTTTACTTTTCCTTATTGGTCATTAGAATTAGCTTATGGCAAGTTTCCTCTTTGAATGCTCCATAATCCCACATAAATTGAAATACAGAATACCAATTGACCATAGGCGTTATATTCACTGTGGGAAAAATAAAGGAAAGGGCATTGAAGCATAAAGCCAAAATATATTTTATAAAGAAGGGAAACTACCAAAAACCAAACTCATGCATGCCTCTCTCTCTCTCCCCCCTTCTCTTTATCTCTGAGTTTTGATCTTCTCTCTCTTCTTCTCTCTGTAACCTCAACGATATCTATATATATATATAAAAGTTCAGCGTCTTTGCGTTTTGAGAGTTAGTTTCTCTTCTTCCACCCCCCCTCCCTCCTCTCTCTCTCTCTCTCTCTCTCTTTAATGGGTTTTTACTCAGAACCATGAAAGCCTCCACCTTGATGATATAATGCGAACTATCTTATCGGTGAGTGCATTCTTTGGGTTTTTCTTGTCGTTGATTTTCATGGTTATTGAGACTCTTTTGCAGTTCCTGTGAAGTGGGTTTTGAGTTTTTTCCATCCCTGCGTTATCAGTTTAATCTATTCATTGATGTGCTCATTGAGTTGGATTCTGTCGCATGATCAGGGTTTAGGGATTTTCATAATTTGGTACATTGGATTATTTTGTGAATTTGGATTAGTTTTTTTGTGAAGGATGGAGATTAAGTTGTTCTGTAGTTGTTTTGCGCTTGCTGGATTATCAAAGTTTGGATCTTTTTACTTGAGTTTCAAGCTTTCCTCCTCTATCTCCCATCTCTCTCTTTTTATATCTATCTATGTACATATTATTCAACTCGAAATTGTTTTGATTTGGGTTTTCTTGCTCTCTAATTTTGCGATTTGAAATCATTAATGCAGGTATAGATTGATATGCCTTTGGTTTTGATGGCAACTTGAGTTGTCTTTCTATTTCTGTGATGTTTGTTTCCTTCTATTATATTTCTGATGGTTGTTTCCTTTTATTTTATCGTTGAGGTCCCAATGTGTTAGGAATCAGAGTGAGTCCTGAAATATCCTATAGGAATTCCTTTGGAAGTTTTGTGGTTTAGATGAACTTGAAATTATTGTTTTTCTTTCAATCTTTAGTTGCATCTATGAATTGAAATTATTGTTTTTCTTTCGATCTTTAGTTGCATCTAGGATTTTAATAAATTGTTATTCCAAGTTCTGACTTCTGATCATGTTAAGTCCTGTTGGGAATTCGGGTATTTGCAGGGTGCAGGGTGAGGTGGAATCTCTCTCTCTACTGTCCCTCTTATTGTTGTATTTGTTTCGTCAAATATTTCAGTAATGGGTGGGGTGGAATCGTTTTTGTGTTTGCAAATATTTGAGTAATGAGTGAGGTGAAATTACCTGGTTCTCATGTACTTTTGCCCTTTTGGTGTTCTCTTTCCAAACTCTAGAGAAATCTCTCTCCCTCGCTCTCTCTGTTTTCCTTTTCTCTTTAAGTTTAGGATCAAACTTGTTTTTCATTCAGGAGATATATCCTGCTTGATTTTGTTTTCAAATATATGTGTGCGTTGTCTTTATCCTTAATCTTAGCCTGGTGTTATATCTGTGCTGTTCCATTCATTAAAACACTTTTAGTTGATGTTCTGTTTGTGTTAGGCAATCTCTCTGTTACTTTCTTTAGGATATGAATATATTGGTTAAGTGAGTTTTGGTTAGTGTAATTGAAGATTTCATGTAGATCTGGAACTTGGTTTCTTATTGATTATGATTTTGTCACTTGCAGAGTGCATATAAGCTCCTCTTTGTGGATTAAACTGTGGATCCTTATTGGCAACTGGATCTGGCTCTGTTCTCCTTTGGGGGACAGTTCTGTTCTTCTCTGCATAGGAGACATGAACGCATCCTCCGAGAGGGATTATGAAGAATTCGAGATGCTCTTAGGTGAAATACCAAATGCCACTCTGGTTGCTCCCCAAATTCAGTGCCCTGCCAATTCTAAGCGAAAATTAGAGAACTCCCTAATGTCTTCTAATTCTGATTCCTTTGCGAATGTCTACCACTCTTCTCAATCCCCAAAGCAAGTTTCTCCCTTCTATAACAGCATGGCTTATGATAGAAGCCCACAACTTAATACCTCAAAACACCCATACGATCAGAAGCCTCATAGCGAAGATAGCAGCAGCAATGGCCAAAATGACCATTCAAAACCCAAGTCCTCAATTGATCAGAATGGGGGTAGCCTCCATAATCAGCAAGATTTGACATCTGGTTTCTCTAATTTAAGATTGAAAAATGATAACAAAAGCATGCAAAATTACAGCTTTTTATCAGATGGGCAGTTGCAAAGGTGCTTGGGCGACCCCCACTTGGCCATTCCAATGCCTTCCTCACCAAACCACATAAACTGCATGAGCTTGGTCACTCCGTCTCTTGAGCCGGTGAATTTTTCTAGACCTGCTGTTTCTTCTCAATTAACTGGGGAAACTAATGGCAATGAAAGTGACAGGTCACTTAAAGTAAATGGTGTTAATGGTAACAAGGGAAACGAACAGTTGACACTTGATGAGTTCTCTATTGGAGAGAGACAACAAGGTCCTCCTATATTTTCAGGCGCCTTACCTTTTCATCATGGAGCTCGCACCACTCCATTCGTACCCAATGTCCCTCTTTCTGGATTAGAAGGTTTTCAGCAACAGTATTACATGGATGCCCATTCTTCTCCATATATTCAGCCCCAATCCCCCTATGATCATCCCAATGCTGCCATGCAGCAACTGAATAGGCATCAAATAGCATGGAGGCATTTGGAGGAGGAGAGAGTGACGAGAATGCAGCAACAAGTTGCTTATTTGCAGCAGCTCCAAAACCAGGGGACTAATCAGGGGAGCCTCAATTTAGACATGGGATCCTTTGCTAGAAACACTAGGCAGTCTTTCTGTGATATGACACTCTCGCCTCAGATGGAGCACTCTAATCAAAGCCCTTTTTGGGGCAATGGGGTGGTTCAAGGAGGAGTAAGCCCAACTGATTTTACGCTCATGGGTGGTAGTCATTGCCGATATTATTCTCAGGGGCTCTGTGGAAGAGGTGAGACCTGCTCATTTACACACACACAGAAGCAATCACAAGGGAGCGGTAGGGGTTGTGTGTCATGTGCATTGTTTCCAAAAGATTTTCAAGGGGTCTCGATGATGGACAAAGAGGAAAAACACCTTCTCCCTGAAAAGATCTTGACAAGGTCTCATGGTGTGAACTCAATAAGGGCCATTAAGCAAAATGCACTAATGGGGAAGAGTTCTATCATGGCAACGGACCCCTGGGCCAATGCCAAAGCCTTTGCAAATGGGGTTTGCCTCTCCACAAGCATCTCTAATGGGCTTTCCTTCCAGCTCGACGGCCAATGCCCTAGGGGTTCATCACCTGAGATAGTGGATCATGGGTTATCTCTTAGATATCAAAACCAGTTGAAATTTAGCTCCTTGGATGAGGTTGAAGGGAAAATTCTTTTAGTTGCAAAGGACCAGCAGGGATGCCGGTTATTGCAGAAGAGATTTGTAGAGGGAACACTGGAAGATGTAAACAAGATTTTTGTTGAGATAATTGATCACATTCTAGAACTAATGGTTGATCCATTTGGAAATTATCTGGTTCAAAAACTTCTTGAAGTGTGTAATGAGGATCAGAGGACTGCGATAGTTCACAGGATCACTGCAGGAGAGCACATTATAACCACAATCTCTGTTAATATGCATGGGTAATTGCTTACTCTGTACTTCTGGTGATATTATTTTCTTCATCAATTAAATTGTGATGAATTTTGGCTCATGGAAATTTAAATGGTTCTGGATTCTTCTCAATGAGGTGTTTTCTTTCCTATTTGGCTCTGAAATATGTCTAGAGTTCTGAATCTTGTCCTTGCCCCATTTTATTGGATTTACAATGAAATTTTTCTAGACCCAGTTTTCCTGAAATTTTCAGAAAGTTGACACCTTGATTTTGGCTTTATCATCCCAAGAGTTGACTGATTGCGATCTATCTGCTTTTTTGCACCATGCAGAACTCGAGCTCTGCAGAAAGTTATAGAGACTCTCCGAACAAGGGAACAAATCTCCTTGTTTGTTTCCTCTATCAAGCCCTGTCTACTCAATTTGATCAATGATCTGAATGGTAATCATGTTGTGCAACGCTGTTTGACAGTACTATCCACCCCTGATTCTCAGGTAAGATTGTTTATAGTGTCACCTTGGTATTATTTATTTGATCGATATATAAATAGTTGCTTAATTTTCTTAAGGGTCTCCTTGTTGCTCTTGGAGTTAATTGACGCTAAGTATGAATCGCAATTTGATGTATTCCGAATGACATCATGCATATTCTTGTCTAAAGATAATAATTATTCTGTATAGATATAAACTCCGTTTCCCTATTAATTTTAATGGTTTTTCCTTTCTATTATTTATGATGCTTCTAGAAGATATATGAGAAGTTATTATTCAAAAAAATTTAGAACTACTCAATAAGAATGTTGTGAGAATATGCTAGAGCTGACTAGACAATTGCCCATCATGTATTCTGTAACTGGGGTATTTTTCACTAAGAATACTGTAGCTGAGAAAGCAGTAGCTCTACAGTCTAGCTTGTAATTTTGAAAAACATTTAAAATTTTGAAAAACATTTAAAATTTTGAAAAACATTTAAAATTTTCAAAAGGATCAAAACTGTATACATGATTGAAGGGTGCTGCAATTATATTTTCTTAGTCAAGCTGGACATTTCAACTAGATTATATTTCAATCATTTTGGTGCATGAAGTTATTATGCCTTGTATATCTCGCTGGACTTGTTTTAGGCAAGGAAGGTAAAACCTCTGTTGTAACTTGATGACTGGAGGATTACTTATGATGAGTATGGAAAAGCTTGGAATAAAAAAGAACATTGTTAAGCTTACCGTCATTTAAAAGTTTACCTGATAAAGCGTATGATCATGTGAAATTGGGTTCTCTGGTCTACATGATGAAAATGAATTAGTTTAGGGGAAGGAGGTGGCTTGCATTATAGATTGTCTTTGATTGTCTTCATTAATGACAAGGGTATTTCTTAGCCAAATTTTGAAGCTCTATATTTGAGTAATTTTTTTTGTAATGCTCAGATTAGAAGATTTTTATGAGGTATTTAGAAATTATTTGTTTCTTGTCAGTATTGTTTGCCATTGTTGCTGCTATCGTTGTTTGTTTATTTTCTTTTCTATCATTGTTTGCCGTATGGGGACAGTATCTTCTGTGTGATCTATGTTACTGTTGTATTTTTAGATGCTTCTGTATATGAAGTACTGTTAAAAAAAATTTCTTACGTCATAAGTCATCTTTTTATTATTTTCCATTTCAGTGACGTTTTGGGTGCACTTGATCCTTTTTGTTATTGTTTTCCATTGTACATGACTAGAACATGTCAAATGCTGTGTGCACATGGAAATCTAAGATGCAGCATTAGAACTTATTATAGAAAATATTCTGCTTAATTTTTGGCAATTGTTCTACTCTTTTGCATATCAAGTGTCATAACATCAAAGAAATCCAAAAGTTTTCAAATTATTAAAAGTAGCAATTTAAACTCAGGTCCTGTTATGTTGGAGCTTGAGCACAACAATTGTTCTTTCAAATGAGGGATAGCTCAACTTAACAACTTTCTACTACAACGGAGAAAATTTAGGGTCTGGATCCCATCTTCTTGTATGGTTTCAACAATGCATGTATAGAATGACTCTTAGCCTTCTCATACCATTTGTTCCATCACCATTTGAGGCTCCTGTTCAGCAGGGTTTCAACAACCCATTTATAGGAAGACTCCTAACCATTTTATACCATTTGTTCCATTGTAATTCAGGTTCCGGTTTAATAGGGCCTAAAACTGCAGCAATTTTTACCTTTTGGATGGCTCTGATGTCTTTCCTTTCCTTTCCTTTCATCGATTCCCTAGTGTTGAAATCGACATGTGTCCTGGAGTCCGAATAACATACCACACATATCTGACGCAGTTATATGTCCATACTTATTGTTTTTTGTGATGTTTGTAATAATATCACACTTGTCAATCTCTTCTTAAGTTATATGGCTCCTGATGATGTATTTATATCTTATGAAAGAATTTTATTTTCATGCAACATTCTTTTCCAACACAATAGGCGCAGGTAGAACACAGTACCATTTGTATGTAATATACTTCAGAAGTCGTATCTGTTGATTATAATAATAACTCAGATGCCACAAAATTTCATCTAATATCAACAATTTTCTTGAAGGAAATGCCAAAATGCCGCACATAGGATAAAGTATTTAACATGCTGAGACAAATGAAATGTCAGGGTAACATTTCTATTATCAAACGTACAACTCTGGACTTATCTTTCTTGTGTTCTAAAAAGACCAACATAACATCTTACATGTGAAATATATTTTGTTTCTTTTCTTATACTATTGTTTTTTTCTATTCTTTTGTGTGTGTTTCTTTTAACTTTCTTTTTTTTATTGATGCACTTCTTAAGTATGATTATCTTGGTTCTTGTTTGTTTTGAATTATTAAATTTTTTCTACCTTACATTTAGGCCATCATGACATTCTGTATCATTTTGCAGTTCATCTTTGATACGATAGCAGTTCACTGTAAGGATATTTCCACTCATCGCCATGGTTGCTGTGTTATTCAAAAGTCCCTCAGTCCTGAGTTTGGGGAGCGGAGATACCCAGTTGTGCAAAGGGTGGCTGCACATGCTCTCGAATTATCTCAAGATGCATACGGGTAATTAGTTTGTTCTTCTTTCCTTTTATGTTCTTAAAGATTTCTTTTACTCATTTGTAGTCATCCTTGTAAAATTTAATTCGATCACTAGCGATTTCAATATTCTCAATCAACTGTTTGAAATACACATAACTTTCATAAAAAATGAAGCTGCCTGCTTGTATGACAATTCTGCTCTTGCTTAGAGAGAGAGAGTTTGGAATTCAATCTTTCAAAATCCATGTGCGTATATATATTCAGGCTTCCTTGAAATCCATATGGGCTTTGCTTGTTTTCTTTCATCTATTATTTCCCCAAATCCTTTGAACTTAAAATTTTGTTTATCTTCTCTAATAATTGTGCACCTATGACTAAAATGTGCAGGAATTACGTGGTGCAATGTGTGTTGGGCCTTGAGATACCGTGGGCCACGTTACTGCTTTTAGAAAAACTACGTGGTCATCTTGCGATGCTATCTAAGCAGAAGTTTAGCAGCAATGTTGTGGAGAAATGCTTTAGCCATGTGCAAGATGAGCAGAAGAGGAGCCTAGTGCGTGAGCTTTTGAAGCACTCCCCATTGTTGGAACTTTTGCAGGATCCTTATGGCAATTATGTTATTCAAGCCGCACTCAAGTTCGCTAATGTAATTTTCCTCTCTCTGTGTATGTGTGTCCATGTGAGAGTGTGTGTGTACTTGAATTGTAATCCGTTTTCTACACGCAGTTTAATACGAAACTTTAGGCATATGCACAATATAAAAATATAAAGAAAATATGTTCAAATAATTTAAAATGAAATTACCCCCATCATTTTCAGGATTAGTTAGGTCATTTTAAATTTTGGGAAATATTTATTTATTTTTACTTGTGCGCCCTATTATACAGTACACATGTACAAACATGTACAGAATTTCATCTTGATTTGATTTGTAGGAAAGAGATTAAAATTCAAGTTATACATGCATTTTCAACCATATGATAAAAGCCTTAAACTACCTGAGAGTCTCTCATACGTCTGTATATGGTCAGCTCTGTTGTGGGTTGTTTGTTACAACTATCTTTTCTTGGCAAGCAGGTATCTCTTCGTGATGAAATCCTGAATGCCATCAAGCTCCATATTCCTATGCTTAGGAGCAACCCTTTCGGAAAAAGAATTCTCGCCTCCATCAACTCGAAGAAATAGTTCTCTCTCTCTCTCTCTCTACTTTCTCTCTCTACTTTTACTAGTGCCCAAAAGCCTGTAAGCCTGCATACATAACACTCTCTAGAGAGTAGAGGGAGAGCTCTAAAGGACCAGTTTTGTAGCTAACAAGGAGGGGATCATGTCAATAGTGTAATAAAGAGAGAAGGTAAGAAGGTTTATGACTTCTTGTAGCCTGGAAGGGTAGGCTACATAGTTTAAGGTGACTTTTTTTTCTGCTTCTTTTTTGTCAATATTTTGTGGACTTGGCCGGCATTTTGCACGGGGTCGAATAGATGGTTGTAGCAGGTCTTAATTGTATGTGGTCTTGATCTGGTTCAGAATAAATGGTGGAGGAAGAAGATTTTGGTGTGGTAAACTCTTGTCAGATTGGAAAAGAAATGGTGAGGTGGGTTCATATGAGCCGCCTCTTACATTTTGTTTGTTTTTATCTAATATGTAGAAGTGTCTGCCTTTGTAGTGTCTTGTAAACGCTCTTATTATGTAAGATCACACCTTGTTTATCTCTCTCTCCTGGGTGTCTAGGTGTCAGGCAAGTTTATGTAGGCCAATGCATTTGAATAAATCCTTTGAAGTTTGTTTTGTTTTGTGGATCTTGTGAACTATGCACATTCTGTGTGATCATTTTTTTTTCTACCATTTAGAAGACAAGGTTTATATAAGGTTGAGGCGCTGAAACATTGAATCAAGCCTCATCTAAGAAAAATTCAATAGAAGAGGTTTTTTTTATGTTGAAAGACCATCAAATCTGAAATCGAGATGTATAGACATGAAAAAAGTGGATTTCAAGTGGAGGAAATAATACATCTTGTGTATTTTCAAAGTGTTTATAGATATGCTTGATTTACACTATTTTTAAACCTTAAATTTTATAATTGAAGATGAAAATGAGTTTTCAAGCCTCGTAAAGACTTTTGCTATTGAAAAATCATCTCGATACTATTTAGAGGTACAGCTTATTTTTATTGTTTAGACCTTATACAAACCACACCCTTAGAAGAATAGATTTTGTCATTTGTCATGATTCAAAATTTTAGGGAAATTCATCAAAATAACTTTCAAAATACTCATCTAACGACAATCTAAATTATGATATGATATGGAATTGGTGCAAAAGCATAAAATGTTAAATAGTGTCTTATGCATGGTTTGATAAATTTCAACGGGCATGTATTACTATGCGCCCTTGGGAGCATCCTATATATTTTCTCCCAACGCTTGCTTTGGAGTTTTTTGTTTGAAAATATTAAGATCTCTCTAATTATAACTAGATAATTATTTTTAAATAAAAAAAAGTTAGATTTTAAGCTCTTGAACATCTACATAATTCCCTCCAAAAATTGATGAGAGTTAATAACTTCTTATTTTGAGGTTGGTTGTCGAATTCTAGACCAAAATTTGAGATTTAAATTATATTGTTAGTGTAAGTTTTGCCTGAGGGAGTAGACGGATAGAATACTCCTAGAAATCGTTTAGCTTCCTAACTTTTAAGACAAATTTTTTGTTGGGGTCTACAGATCAAATCCAAAATCTAAAACATATTGCAAGGGTAAGTTTTGGCCGCTAAAATACGGGGGAAGAAATGGATGGTATACCCGCAGGAGCAAGACAAATCTTTGCTAATTTGAGAATAATTTATTGGTAATAGTGTTACTTTTGAGACCATATCTCACACATAATGTTTATGGTGTTTTCCATACAATTGTATTACGCACATGATGTCCTTACAATGATTCATCTCCACCGTCTGAATTGGAAATAACCCCATCTCCTCCGGTCGCACGGCCGGGAGCAATATCTCATTTCAATTTTAATTTTTTTATCTTTTTTACTTTCTATTTTTTAACTCTTGTCATTTAGGTTGTCGACCATCTTGGTGCGGTTTATATACGATGTCAATCACAAACAATCAAAGTGAGAAGCACCTCTAAATCTTGCTAAAATATGTGGTTCTAAAACTAAGAATCCTTTTGCCCAAATATTTATTTTCATCCTGACCTATTAAAGCTCTAAAATAGTACGGTTCAAGTAGATCCGTAGACACCTAAATTTTTTTTAAGATAGGCTGTATATATGATGTCTTGCAAGATGTGTTATTTTTAATTTTTCAAATTTTTTTTTTTTTATACCCTCACTTTTGAAGGTTAAGATCATGAATTGAAGGATTTTTCCACCTCTTATTTATCTTTTCAGATGGAATTTTTGTGGAGATATAAGGTGGACACCTTATCTAAATGGAAAAAATTTATGTAAGTGTGAGGCTTTAAACAATTCAATTAGGGCACATCTCAAAAATTTCGCTAAAAGAAGTTATTTTGATGCTCAAATTTATCATCTCTACCACAAGATGCATGGACATGAGAAAAAAATAGATTTCAAGTTTTGAAAATAGTACATCTTATAATGCATTTTTTGACAGTCAATTTTCAAGATTTTCAAGTTTTCACATATCAATTTACACTATTTTTTAAGCTTTAAATTTGACAATTACATATGAAATTTTTTTTTAAGGGTATCACAAAGATTTCCTAGAAACCTCATTTGTCAACGCTACTTGAAAGTGTGCTTTACTTTGATTGTTTAGAGCCTATACTCCATACAAACCGCACCATATAAATTACTTCTATTTTTATTACCCAAAAGGGGTTGGTGGAAATATTGTAAACAATTACTTTTGGAATGGCCACGTCCTGGTTTTAGTTTCTGAAGTCTAAAAAAGAAAAAAAAACGGTGGGGCATTTAGAAAAAAAGAAAAATGGCCTTCACCTAAGTTGGTGAGTTCTGGTTGAGAATTGAGCTTGGAGGAGCAGCAAAGTAGAACCACAAACCATATGACTCTCTCATCCAAATCTCCCTCTCTCTCTCTCTCTCTCTCTCTCTCTCTACTACTACTACTACTACTACTACTACTACTA